CGCTGGGCGCCCTGATCGAGCTGAGTGGCGCCGTGTTCACCCCCGTGCCCGCAGCGCCCGTGGAAGTCGAGGCTAGTGGATAGGCAGCAAACAGCTGGCGCGCCAGCTCGTCCTTGTTCTGCGCGGCTTTCGAGCGCACCTGCGACGGCACCAGCAGCTGCTCGGCCTGGCTCCTTTCGCCCTCCAAGTCGACGCTGCGCAGCGACTGCTCCATCAACTCGACGTCCGTCTCGGGCCGCCCGACGGCAGCACGCATGGCCGCCTCCACCGGATCGTCCACCGACGCCGAGCTGCCAAGCTCTTCCGCTGCCGTCCTCGTTGCGCCGTTCTGGCCATTCGTCGCTGCCGCCGCCGGCTTGGCCTCCGTCCGACGGCGATACTCAAACACATTGTTGGTGTCGTCAAAGTGGATGGGGCTGGCGTCGGACTCGGCGATCACCTTGGCGTCGATCATGAGGTCGGCGATGCGCATGAGCTGCTCCTCGTTCGGGTGCACCTGGCTCGGTCGCACCGCCTCCATGTTTGCGCAAGCCTCACCCATGCCCACGCTGATGGTCGTGCCGCCCGGGATGGTCGACTGGGTTGCCTTGCGCGTCGGCGCGAACCCGCGCATGTCCGAGTCCTCCTCCAGGCACAGCGCAGCCGCGCCCACCGCGCCCACCTTGCCAATGTTCGGCAGCGCATCAAAGGGGAACGCGTAGCGCAGGCTGTTGATCATGTCGACGTACTGCGACCAGCACCGATCCATCGCCGCGAGCGTGTCGACGTAGGCCGTGTGGTGCGCATTGGGCTGCTCCGAGTCCGGACGCACCTCCATACCCGAGCGCACCACCTCGGGATCCGCGTCGCCAAACTGCTGCACCGCTTCGCGCGCGCGCTTCTCGATGCGCTGCATGTACTCCAGATGCGTCTTGGTCCACTTGGTCACGATGCGCAGCGCAGGCAGCGTGCGGCGAACCACCGCCGTCAGGTTGCGGATCGGCGATGCCTCGGCGCCATCGTCGCCCAGAGCCGCAGCCGCAGCCTTGCTCGCTTCCAACGCCTTGCGTGTCTCGGTCGTGTCGACGGTGGCCAGCTCGCGGAAGACGCCGAGCACGTGCGCCGTCACCTGAAACTCGACGCAGCGGCCCGTCTCGGGCGACGGCGCACGCTTGCGCGACGAGCGCTCGCTTCGGATCGGTCGAGGTCGATGTGGGTCCTCTGATCCTTCCGACGAGGGCCTTGGCGCGTCGCGGCTGACCGACGAGGGTGCGCTGCGCCACAACCGTGTCGTCCACGACGCACACAGCGCCGTCACGAGGAATTGAACGATCTGGTCGGCGCGCAGCGCACGTGCGCGAACGAGCGTCGAGAACGTAGCGAGCACGCAGCGCGAGAGATACATGATGTGGTCGAGGTGGCTGCGTCGATAGAAGAGGCCGTGCAGCACGACGACCTGCTTGAGCCACGCCTCGGTGGAGCGCTCGGCGAGCTCGACGTCGGCGGCCAGCCGAGCGACCAGCTGCGGATCGCGCAGCTCGGCATCCTTGGCTGCATCCCACGTGTAGGCGGATGCATGCGTGGAGCGCGAGGCCTCGTCGAGCCAAGCAGCCGTGGGCTTGGCGAGCAGCTTTTCCAGGTTGATCTTGGCTTTGGCGAACGGCGTCTTGACGCACAGCGCGCGGTAGTAGTAGTACAGCGAGGCGAAGGTGTCGCCCTTGTACGTCGACACGACGGCCAGCTGGTTGGCCGGGTTGCCCTGGTCCGGCAGGATGAGGCGTGCCTGCTCGTAGAATGCCGACGCGCGGCTAAAGTCGTACTTTGGCGTGGGCTTGGGCCTCTTCGAAGGAGCGGACGCGGCGTCGGCCGGAGGGTCGTGCGACGACATTTCTCGGTAGCGCGCGAGGTCGCCGCAGAAGATCAGGAACTTGTGCAGCAGCGTGACGAGGTGCGTGCGCTTGGCGGGCAAAAGCGCCGCCTGGGAGAGCGACTCGTCCGGCTCGTTGTCGTGGCGGTTGGCGCGCGAGGTGAACGAGTCCGAGGGCAGCGACGACGCGAGCGACGAGTCGGCATCGTTGTCGGCGTCGATGCCGAGCGCTTCGAGGTTGGCGCGCGCCTCGTCGAGCGAGAAGAGACGCACGAGGCGGCCGACGAGCTCGTGCCAGAAGAGTTCTTCATCCACGAGGAACTTGCGGTACTCGGCCTTGACGCGCGACGCATCCTGGGCTGACTTGCCTCGGCGACCAGGTGCCTGAGCCGCTGCAGGGGCCGATGCAGGATCGACACTCTTTTGCGCGGCCGAGATGTAGGCGCGGTAGGCGGAGATGAGCGTGTAGGAGGTGTCGTTCCAAATGTAGCCGTCGACTGCCTGTGCCTCGCGTGTAAAGGTGCACGTGAAGAGGAGGTTGAGCCAGGTGTTTCGGAGGTTGCGACGGGCAAAGTCGATGTCGGCGTCGAGAAGCTTGGCGCTGGCGTCCTTGGGATGCATCCTGCCTGCGCGCGAGGTGGTGCTGGTGGAGGAGGTGGATGCGGAGTGCGCGAAGCTGGGCTTGACCATGCGATCGAGCTCGGCCTTCTGCCTGCGGCCCTGTTCGAGCAGTGCGGCGGCGCGCACATCTCTCTGCGGCATGGCGGCCGGTGTGGGTGACGGCATCCTGGCGAGGAGTGTTTGAGCGATAGCAGCCTGGCTTGGCTTGGCGGCCTGAGTTCGGAATCGATTGCAGAAGAGAAGAGATGCAGCGTTGGTGCGATCAGACCATGGTGTCAAAGATTGTGTGTGGCGCGATTCGAGGCCGAGGGATGCTGAGTAGGGTGATGAGCGGTGGTAGTGGTGGTGAGAAGATGAGATCTGCGAGAACTGACGCTTTCGACTCGGGCGCCTTCCATCGCTCGGCTGCTGAGCTGCTGCCCTGCGTGGCCCGTGATTTCGGTTTTTTCTCGACGGCGGGCCTTCCAGCGCGACTCTCTGCCGAAATCCCACTCGTTGGCCCTTTCTCGTCAGCTCGGCCTGGCTCCTGCGCCCCTCTGCGCCTTTGTGGAGGAGATCCGCGGCCAAGCTGCGAATCTCGCGACCAAGCTGACAATCACTTGCTGCTCACAGAGCTACTCGTCGCGACATCAGACAATCGCACATGTACACACCGACCGAGGAGGGGGAAGAATCGTCTGATTTCATTGCGAGCCGTCCAAGGGGACGAGCAGGGCGCTGATCACGCCCGAAAACAGAGATTGGGAATGAGAAAGGAGGAACGAGGAAACCGGCCCGCCGAGAGAAGCGGGGTACATCGTTGCGGCCACAGGATGCGCTCATGGAGAGACAGAGAGAAGAACCAGAGCGGGAGAGGAGACATGTCGAAAGCACGCAGAGGCATCTGGATGAAGCCCCCCTAAAGTGCTTGTAGACGCCGGAACCGGAACCAAAACAGTGAATCACAACACCAAGAACGCGGGAAGGAGAACAGCGACGGCGCGCTACATGAACCAGAGGCACTGAGTGAAGGTGGCGCTCTTCTTCAGCTTGTCCATGATCTCCATCGAGTCGTCCTCGCCGATCTCTTCGGGGCCCGTGTCGCCGCGCTCCGACGAGGCCGTCGTTACGCCGTCGTCCGGGCCGTACAGGAAGGCACGAGCCTTCTCGCACAGGATGTCGGCGTAGTAGGCGGGCGGCACGAGCGAGACCGAGCGCGTGGCGCGGCAGTAGGTGTAGCAGAGCGAATTGACGCATTTGATGAGTTGCTCGCTCGAGAACTCCATCTCGTTGCGCAACACCACGTAGTGGCACGGGCGCGCCGTGCCCACCAGGCCGGCCTGCGACTGCAGGTAGAAATCGAAGCCAAAGGGCGACACGATGTTCTTGTCGACGCACGTGCCCGCAGGCAGGTTGCCCGACCTGTCGCCGGCCACGTCGCGCGGGTCCTTGGGGAAGAAGCGTACGTGGTGGCCCTTGCCGCACCCCACAAACGTCACCTTGACCTTGGCGTCGGGGCGCAGCTCGCGCGCCGCATCCTTGATGGCCGCCAGCTCGTGGTCCAGCACCGTCTGGTACTGGCCTTCGGAAACGCCGTCGCGGAAGAAGACCACCGATTCGGGCAGTCGGCCCTGGTTGGCCGCCTGCCACTTCCTGAGATGTCCGAGCATCATGCCCTTCGAGTGGAGCATGACTTCCTGGACGGCGCCGCCGCGCGGGTTGGTCTGCTTGCGAAGCTCCGACGAGTATCGCCTCTGGCCGCCGTCGATGGTGGCGACCGAACCGGCGATCGAGGGCTTCTCCGAACCCGGGCCAGGGTGCGTCACGTCGGCGCCAATGAGCATGGTCTGACGACCGAAGCGAGGCAAGTCACGCTCGCTGGTGACGACGTGGTTGGTGCCGCCCAGCTTCACGTTGATCTTCATCGCGACGTTGGCGACGTACTGGGGGCGGCCGCGCATGTTGAACGCCTTGTGTGCACTGACGCACTGCGTGGCGACGGGCGTGTGCAGCTCGAGCGCAGCGACTTTCTTGATCGTGTTGTAGAACGGTTGATCCTGCGCGTCGAGCACGATCAGGAAGAGCTGCGGCGGAGGGGGCTTGACGCCCGTCGCCTCCTTGAGCCTTCTGAAAACTGTCGTGCCAAACTCTCGCATCTGATTGGCCACCACGTCGGAGTCGTGATCGACGCGGCACTTCTGGATGAGCGGGCGCGTGTTGCGGATGCGCAGACCTAACTTCTGGAGCGAGTCGACCTGGGCGACGACGAAGTCCTCCACCGTGTTGGGCGGGTGGCGGCTGTAGTCGAGGACGCCCCAGGTGATGAGCTCCTCGCCGGGCTGGAAGAAGCGAGCGCCGACGAGATTCCAGGAGCCGTTGTTGATGCGCGGGCGCTGCGAGCCCGAGGCGTAGCTCACGTCGGGCTGAGGGATGACGCGAGCCTCGGCCGAAAGGGGCTGCGGGTCGACCGAGACGCCCCAGGCACGCAGGTAGGCGTCCTGCTCGTAGTTGACCTCGGCGCGGATCTCGTCGACGCGACGCTTGCGCTCCAGAGGGTCAAGCTTGGTGCGGGCGATCTGGTCGGCGGCCTGCATGGGCGTGAGGCTCGTGGCAGGGATGGGCCCGAGCGGCACGACCTCGCAGCACTCCATGGGGACGGCGGAGCGCTGGGCGCCGATGCGCACGCAAGGCAGGCGGGGGAAGCGCAGGCGAAAGTTGTACTTCTCGAGGAAGTACTGAGCGATGGTGTAGTTTTTGCCGTCCTTGGTCTGGAACTCGGTCTCGTCGGCAGCGCGAGGAGTAAAGCCCTGGAAGGACTCGAGCTTGTTGGTGGCGCGATGAGTGACGCGAATGCCGACATTCTTGAGGCGCAGACGCAGCTGGCGCTGGTCCTGCTGGGTGAGCGAGGTGAGGGTGACGGGGCCACGGGGGCCGCCAAAGTCACCGCCACCGCGGCCACCACGGCCGCCTCGTCCGCCTCGTCCGCCGCGACCACCGCGACCGCCGTCGAAGCTACCGGGGCCGCCGATGCTGAGTAACTTGGCGGCGACCTCGATGAAGGGGCCACCGCCGACAAAGGCCGAGTAGGCGGGGTCTAGGTTGACCACGAGGCCGGCGGCGCAAGGACGGGCCGACTGGAAGAAACCGGGCCAAATCTGCGCGCCCTGCGAGATATGAATGGGCTTGGTAGGATCATAAAACTTACGAGCGGCGTTGGCGGTGGTGCCGGACTGGTAGCGGGCCTTTAGGCCCATGCGAAGCAGGATATCGATGGCTTGGATGCCATCCTGGACAAGCTCCTGCGGGTTGGCAGCGGTAGCCATGATGGCGCGTCGGTCGCCGTGGCACGCGTCGAGAACGAGACCGATGTCGATGTTGCGTGCAAATGCCAGCTTGATCCGGAAGCGGCGATCGCTACGAGGGGCGGTGGCAGGAGCTGAACCTGCGGCGGGGCCGGCGCCGGGCGCACGAAGAGGGGCGGAACTAGCGGCACCAGGAGCGCCGGGGGCGGCGGGCAGATCGGCGTTGTGCGGGAGCTCGGTCACCAACTCGAGCGTTTCGGCGGGAAGGGCGAAGGCGGTGTAGGCGATGGCACGGCCGTCGTAAACGATGAAGTTGGCGAATTGGTCGGTGATGCCTTGAAGCTGCTGTTGAGCAGCGGTACGCAGGCTGTGCTGGAGCACTTTGATGTTGAGGCGAAACGGCAAAGACTCGCGACGGGGACCAGCGCCGGGACGACGAGCGGCAGAAGGATCCTCGATCGGCTCGATCTTGACGTCGAGCTGCTGGATGTGATCCAGGGCCCTACCCTTGATGTGGACGCGGAAGAGGTTGGTCGTCACCTGGAGGGGCCGGCCCTGCTTGTTGCCGTCGTCGGGACGAGGCGCCGCGCCAAAGAGCGTGAGCGCCTCTTGAGTGCCGCCTCGACCGGCAGGCATGATTGTCACAAAAGCGTTAAGCTGAAGGCGAAGAAGGTAGTGAGAGCGTTCGGAGCGTGTCGATGTTGGTGGTAGTAGGGGCTGTGGGGGTGGGGGTGAGGATGAGGGTGAAGGAAAGCGCAGGCCGAAGAGCGCATACTTGACGAGGGTTTAGATGCGCTGCGGAGAGATGAACGGAGGAGAGAATGGAAGACGTCCGATGAGTGCGGGCGAGTGGCGAAGTGCTGAGTTGGGCGAAGGCCGTGGTGAGGCTGGGTCGGGGCGAGAGGGTTGATGAAGGCGGCGGCGGGCAGTGGTGGGTCTGAGGCAAGACATTATTGAGGCGAAGGGGCGGGAGGAGGAGGTTGAGCGTCAAGCGCATTGCGGGTTGATCAGGGTTCTGACTGATCAGGGTTCTGACAGGTGCGGATCATTTTTTGGCTCGCTCGACGCGGCGCTCTGGGAACGAAATCCCAGGCAGAAGAGCAGAGGAGAGAGCCGACATGCGCTTCATTTCGTCACCGACCTGCAACGGCTGCTGCTGCTGCTGCTGCTGCTGCT